CACATACCACATTGTAGAGGAGGTTTTGCGATTTATTCATCTTAATCAATTAATTCAATCATTTCAAGTAGCACCAAAATGTAGGTGCCTAAAGTACACTGTGGCTAGACCGTTTACTACCAACGTCGCTTTGTAGTGGAAACTGATAACAATGAAAGGGCAATTAGGTCGCCCTCCTCATGATGATTTCCATAATGGGACACAATCAGTTTGTGGAATTTATTCTACTTTACCTGTACATTCAGGTTGGATGGTGCAATACCAGAGATTGTATGCATCACTGGAGTAATGATATTTGGGATCCGTTATCATAACAGATCCGTTATTATAAATATATAATCTAGAGTTACTGTCATCTACATTTTTGCATGGAAAACTTTTATTCCGAATGATATTTTAACAACTATAACGATATAGTCAATAAGAAGGGATGACGAAGGAGAAATATATGTTCCGCAAAATGAACTAATTTTTTTTAATTACTATAAAGGGAAAACTCTATCGGTAATATTTTATCTCTTAATTATTTAAGATTTTTTTTCAACTGATCAATTTTCCCCATGGTGTAAAGAATTCCTAAACAATTCCTGAATATTCCTGTTCTTGAAAATTTTTTTTGTAAACTTATACAATTTTTTGGGCAACTAGGAAGATAAATATACTCATTTTTGGAATTTGAACATTTCCTACTCTATTCAATAATCTGAAAATTATTTTTATAATAGTTCCATGTAAAAAAACAAAAATTAAAACAAAAATTTCTATTTTTTCGTTGCTTTCCAAAGACAATATTTTCAGAATTTTTTTCTAATCGATCACCCGTTGCTCCCAAAAATATATGGAAAATCTCGGTCAACTTCCGTTTATAGGTCTTCGGATAATTTTGATTGTCATGAATAAAAATAACTACTTATACGTATAAAATTAATTAAATAAATAAATGAAAGGGAGTATTCAATTTCTGTACCCATTAAAAAATTACAAGTCGGTTGATGAATTCATTTTATTCATAAAATTAATTTGAGCGTCCTCTGTAGAAATATTGTGTTATATTTAGGAATGAAACAATATTAACAATAAAATATTAACAATATTGACTGAGAAGACTTTGCCAAAAGTGTTTGATAAAGTTTTCTCAGTCAATAATTACTTATTTCTATTGTTTAATCCCGAAATATAATCGAATGCAAATGTAGAGAAGACTCGAATATGTATGTTATGATTGAAATTAAGTTATTAACCGGTTTATAATTATTTAATGGATGCAGGAATTGATAACCCACTGTCATCTATGTACTTAATTAATTATATACATATAAGAAGGATTCTTATTTTTATTTAAGACAATCAAAATGTTATTAGCCCTAATAATCTTGTGACACTTCGTCTTTTTAATTGTGTCATTTACTCCTGTATTTTTTTCCGGCTTTCTTTTCAGTTAAAACATTCACGAAGTTCGAACTCCTCTGCAAAATTCCATGCACAGTTCAAATCTACTGCTCATACCGCTACTTTGAGGGGAGTGCACGCGCATACGGGGCTGGGCCTCATTGAATCAGCTGATCGTTTTACAAGATGTCACGTAAAAAATACTAAATAATTTATTACGGGAGAACAAGTGCACCTGCAATATTGGTTCCTAACTCATTTTCGTAGAGAATTTTCGGCCCTACACACTGGTATTTTTTTCTCAATGATCGGTCCAATTTAATTGAATCTACACGGATTTTTGGCGTTCGCCTGAAGATTCCAATTGTTTTTAATTATTTTTAATATCTAGTACATCAATCTGTCATTGAACAATTTGATATGTTGTTCAGGGAATTTTTATCTATCTAATGGTTAAAGGTGTCACCTAAATGCTAGATTGACTACACTACTAGGAACAAGGGGACGGTAGACTCTGGGCAGTATAGAAATCATGTAATGGAGTAAGAGAGGAGAACAATGAGAAATCGCAGACAGAGAAGGAAGCGTGAGGGTGATGGAGCATAAAAAATGTTTCAAAACGGTATAGATATCCGCGTTGGCTTCTGGCGAGATTTATCTACCTCTATTATTGTTATTATTCAATTGAGATTGGGGCGGAAAGCAATTTGTTATTTTTCTTTTCGTTAATGATGGTGGTGAATTGTATTATTGGCTGGTGTAGATGTAAAACTGTAAAAGTAGCATCAAAGAAATAAATATTCTATTCTATTCATAAATACATGATTTTTTTGAACTTTTTTTTTCTCAAAATGGTAAAATACACGGAACGGCGCAGGGCTCACCACGCGACCAGATACGTTTGGTAGAGAGGTGCGACCACTGGAGGGTTAATTGTTAGTTCGGATTGCTGACTCGATACAGTTTGAGAACTTGTATTCTGCATAATCATGCAATTTCATCATTAATCACAGTTGAAATCAAGTCAATTTTTGTCATTCCGGCCGTGAGGCAGCGCTTCACGGACGCTCCGCGTTCTTGAATCTCTGCCTACGGCCGTCATAACAAAAAATACTGTTCGTCATACGGCCAAAAAAAACTTTTCTAGCTCATATGATTGCAGCCCTCGCCTTCGGCTCGGGCTGCAAACTCATATTCGCCAGAAAAGTTTCTTTCGGCCTAGTGACGAAATATACTATGACTTTTCCATATCAGCCCTATGGTCGCAAATCTCTATTCTTACAAATTGTCAGAGAGAATTGGATCATAATGTGAGCCCTCGGCGCAAACATCTGAAATTTGTCGTTTTCAATGAATGCAATGCTCACTTTATCGAGTAGATAGTTCCGTTATCCTGGCGATTCGTTCTGCACTGTGGAACCTACATTTGTATCACACAGCACTGTCGTCTTGCTCCATGATGCTCCTTCATTTTCACGGAAAAATTCATACCGGAAAAATTCCAGCGAATGAGAAATGCCCCGACGTCACTCGAAATGGCGCCCATAAATGTTGAAAATATTGAGATTAAATGAGATATCATGCGTTGCAATTTAACTGTAAAATCCACTAGCCTCAACGACCGACTGTCTGTCAGAATCACGCGCCGATGGTTATACGATTAATTCGTAATGTCATTTTCATGTCTAATGTAGGAAAATAAATAGGAGAAATGGTCGGCATATGCTCAAGGATTATAAACTGCAGTATCATTTACAATACATGTACATGTTCAGAGGAATTATTTATTGAATTAAAATGCAAAACTCTTTATGACAGAATATGAAAACCTTCTCAATCATGCATTTACCTTGGGAACAGTTGATTGGAGAACAAAATATCAAAAACCTTCTTCAAAAATCTCTGTATTTTCACGAAAGATGTCTGCCGATAATGTGCCCGAAAAATAAACAATAATCACTTTAATCATGAGTGGAAATATGATGAGGCCTTTTCTAACTGGGTATCGTTCCATATTATTTACATCGACAATTAACAATGAGTAGGGGTTCGAGCCTGGAGGTTCTGATCCCTTTCGTTTTATTATTTCTGCCAATTCTATTGGTAGTAAGCTTCCGAATGGATCCGTAGCAATTCGGAAATATTTAACCTTTTGTATAAATCTATTTCATTAACAGGTTGTATATTTTCTTCTAGATACTCTGTAGCATATGGTTACAGTTGTATGCCTTTTACAAGGATAAGGAATTGCTAAGGATCCATTCGGAAGCTTACTACCAATGGAAGTGGTAGAAATAAAGAAAGAAAGAGACTAATGATACAAACAGTAACGGTCACATGCCTTCTGTCGGATAGATTTGAGCCTCTGCTTGTTTTTCAAGTTATCGTACGTACAAGAATGAAAAAATAAAACAAACGAAAAAACGGGATAACTCGAAAATGTTGTGTGAATGGATATAGATATTTGGATTGATCTAGATGGAAGCCGTCGAGACGAGTATTTAGAAAAAAGAAAAAATCAAATCCCTTGAGTAGTTTGTGAGATATTTAATAAAATATATTTACACAAAAGGTTGCATATCTCAGGAATCACTTGGCCGATTGGGCCCATCCAAAATACTAGCCTTAAGTATTATAAGAGATAGGACCATACCAAATTTTGACTTGCTATTCCCATTTTTTATCAAGTTATCGTGGGTACAAGATTTTTCATGAAAAAACTGATTTTTGATCTAGATAGAGGCCACCGAGACGAGTATTTCGAAAGAAGAAAAATCGAAATCGGTGGGGTAGTTTTTGAGATTTTGAGGAAAAACGAAATTTAAACAAGTTGTTATATCTCAAGAACTACTCGATCAATGGGGCTGAAACCACGCGCCAAAGTTGCAAAGCTCAATCATAGCCACAATGAGCCAAAATTTCAAACTTTTATCTACAAATTTCATCGTATTCATGTTGAATTTTCTAAAAATCAATCACCAAAAATCCAAGTTGTCACATACACTGTTAGAAATTTCTCGGAATTTCAGTCACAGCGTCATCTGAATTTTCGATGTTGAGAGAAAGCGTTCACTAAATTTGTCATTCATCTTGAACATTCAAGGAAATTGAGTTTTTAATCTTAAGCAATCATTGAATTTTCAATGAAAGCTTCAATTGCTAAACTCATCGTAAAAATTGAACATCACATACAATTCAATTTTCAACAGATTGAGAATTCCGAAAAGTTGTTGCCTGAATTTTCAAAATTTTCAAGGTTTTTCAGTGCCGAATGGAACTGAAAATCGGTCATTTCTAGAATATTAAAAAAATTTGTTAATTCGTCAATAAAGAAATATACAGATATTTCATATAACTTTGTCGTTGAAAATTTCAAACTTTTTCACTCGAAATTTCAACAGTAATTTTCGAACAGTGTCCATACCCACAGACATGATCCTAAAAACATCATTTCTCCACGTTTCATGACATTTCGGACCATTCGCAATCAAAATGCGAAATTCTACAAATCGGTCAAATGCAAATGGGTGCAAGGCTTCCATTCGAAAGCAAAAAGAAACCAAAATGACTGAACATCATCCTAAATAAATAACCATAAAAACTGCACTGACCTTTGACGATGGATTCTGCAGGAACGTAGCGATGCCCGCACGTACACGATTTTTAACACCCCTAACAGTTCCCTTGGCACTTCTTATGGCTTCCCTATCGAGTATCTTATACCCAGCAAAATACTCCTCCCCCTCTCCCCCCTCCTCTCCATTCCTCACCTCCTGCTGATCTCCCTCAAACTCATTGACATGAAACTTGTAAAACCGATCATCCTCATAAACATACTTGCTTCCATTATCCCTCTTATAATTGGCATAATGCTCAGCAGCAGCATTCTCCATCTGAATCCTATCCTGCTCCCTCTTTCTCTCCTCGTACGTGCACTCCTCAACGACTGGTGAAGTAGACACATGCTGACGTCCGTTACCCAACGGATTTGGACTGCGAATTCTCGGCGTCGAGGAGGACGTTGACAACGAGGAAGTGCCAGATTGAGATGGTGAAAGCTCAGACAATTCACCATCGCTCGATTTCTCATTAACAATCACCTCACTCTTATCACCATCCTCGCTATCATAATTCTTGTTAACCTCCTCATTATGATTATTCAAACAAATGCGTTCAACTTCGCCAGCAGTTCCCTTCAAGTCCCTCTTGACACTCTCTTCACAAATAATAGTCTTCTCACGCGACGTATCCTTGATGACACTTTGTCCACTGTCATTGACCGGGTGTCCATTGACCCTGGCTGATAACTCGCCACTATTCAATGAGTCACAGCTAATGTTACTCTCATTGTCATCACTGTCAATATCAGCCCCGCTACTTGTAAGACTTCCCGTTCTCTTATGAGTTGTGGCTGCACCAAGAAGAACAGTACTCGAGTTCTTCTTTTTGGGCAAGGGCGGAGGTGTGCCATCAAGATCACTGCAGGTGCCACTGTCCAGAGTGTCACTCGGTGAGCATTGACCACTCGACATGACCATCGTGCTAATCGCATTCTGAAATGATCCGTAGTAGAAGCACGAGCGATTCATCTCGTCCTTCTGCACCATATCGTTCGCCTTCTTCAACTCCAAATCAACGTCGTTCACAACACTAATTCGCACATAATCAAGACCCTTTCCATTAACAATATTCCTCTCGATTATTCGCGTATCGCTGGCCAAACGATCATTGGACGCCTCGTTCTTTGTGTTGTCCAGATGGCTCTCGTCATCTAAAGTACTATCGTCCGGCGTTAATCTGACTGTCGATATAACCCGGCTGTTATCGAACTGCGGATTGATCTGTATCTTAACAACATGTGCCGGATAGTCAGTTTTGATTATTTGCGATTGACTGTATCCATTTGACAATTGCACATCTGCCGTTGTCCGCCATACTGATGCAGATTCGGTTTTGCCAGTTGTATCTGCTACGTATACCGTTGCTCCGGCCTCAGAGGGAGTCTGTGACAAAGTGGGGGCAACGGCCAGGATCGACACAGTCTGACGATTACTCTGGCTTTGATGATGGCTCGAAATTGGCAGTACCGGTGGTACGGTCATCGTGCTTGCCTCGGCCATCTCGTCATTCGTTTATTAATGCAAATAAGGTTGTTATTGCAGTGAAATTTATTCACTGATATATTTGGTAATGGTTGGTTGATGTTGGTTCTGGTCTTTTGGTTGTGCTTAATCCTTACTGTTGATCTATGCTGTTGCTGTTCACTCGTAGAATGAATTGCTCACACGAGTAGTTATGGCTTCCTGGAACACACGCCTTCGCGACTTTCGTAGGAACATTCCTATCAAGTACGTCGAACTTTCTAACTGCTCGTCTCTTCCCCCTTCTTCGATTTTTATTCCGCTGGGACGGACGACCTTGGTGTTAATCACCTTGATAAGAACGTCTTTGGATATCAAGTTTGGTGAAGGGTGTGTGCACCTTGGGAAGGTCTAGGAAGGTAGAATGCAATTTGACGGTTAAATCATATTCTATTTCAGGTTAATGGAGCTTATCTATGACACGAGGAGAAAGATAACGAATTAACTATCTCGGGTATTTCTTCCTCTCCCTCTTACGATTCTTTTCGCTTCCTACTTTTTCGTCGGCACTTGAGGCGGTATACGTGCCTCTAATTACACCTTTAGTACTCCAACACCAGGCATTCGGGATAATTGAGAATCCTCACTTGCTTGTGGAGCAGCGATAACGTATGTACATAAGAAGAGGCGCTCCACTGGATCTCTTGGTATTACTCCACCGATGGAGTTGGGATAATAATCAGGGAGAAAAAAATAGCTGAAGAGTGTTAACGAGGGTACGTTAATACGAGCGGATTTGCGGGAGATACTCGAGGGAGCGGAGGGAATGGTTTTGAGAAGTTCAACAAAAATACTGGAGTAATAAAAATAAACAAAAATTTGCGGAATGAGGGGTGCTCAACTTGTCCACTTCAACTCGGCACAAAACAAGTTTCTTCGTCGGTGTACGACCGGTACAGCAAGTCAAAATGCACCTGTTGTGAGGCAGGTTTTTTGAGACCGGTAAAAGTCACTGATAGGCGAAACACTGAATAATATAAAGCAGACACTCTTTTATGGGTATTTAAATCCAATGGAGCGGTTGTAAATCACCACATGTTGTTTTGATAAATTTTTTTTTCGGGAAATAATAAATTTGACGTTTGTAGTGACCGGGATTTACGGATATGACTGGGAGTCACGTATCGCTGTGCTAAACGTGTTGAGGACGGTAACTGTACTGAGAATACCGGAGACAGCGCACTCATGCCACAAACGATTCTACTACTATCTTGCAGGTGAGCTCGCTTGAGTGGGGCCTGGGGATAGAGTCTGGTGGGGGGTAAATGGGCCTTGGGAGAGTGTGGGCTGGAGACAGTGCTACCTTGCGAGGACGCGGTGGCGACCTCTGCCGATGATCGGGGAAGGGAATGGCCGGTTTTGAATTTAAATATCTGTCCTCTACCGTTTCACAGACCTTGAGGGGTCTCACGGTGTTGGCGAGGCTATGGTGAAGCGAGTTTGTTTTAGTTACTAATACTATATAACTACTGTCGGTGTCAAAAGTAGAGACAACTCGAAATAAACGTTTATAACTCAGTGAAAAAAAATCGTAAAAATATGAGACCAAATACACTGTGTAATATAAGTATTTCGCTTGCCTAATACGGAGTTTCAAGTTTTTAGTTTGATTAGTTTATTTATAATCGCTGTGAGAAGCCGAAAAACCACCCGATTTTCAGAGTCCGTAAAAGTCGGCAAACTTTGAACCGCTAGCAAACGTACGAAAATTTTTTTTTTTAAATCGTCAATTTTTTCAGAGATTCGTATAACCCCTGAGAAGCCACCAGGGAAGAAAAAGATCGAAATTGCGATAATTATTCATTTTATTCATAGAAATGTCGACTGCGGCTATTTCGTTGTAGAATTGCCAAGCCGACCTGAAAAAAAAAACAATGCATTTTGAGTTCAATGTAAAACACATTCGGTCAATAGTTTTTCAATAAACAATCTCCGTTGATTTTTAAAAAAATCAAGAAAATTTGTCAAAAAAAGTGCTGTTAAAACGATCATAACTCGTTATGGGGTTTATGGGCCCGCTCACCGCCAGTCCCTCAAAATTAAAAACACATGTGCGCCCGGCTACCTTTTTCAGGGGCGTCGATACCAATTTCAGCCGTTTGGGCCCTTTGGGGCGCCAATATACTGTACATTGCTACTTTCTCATTAAAACAAAAATACGAGCACGAATATTTTTCTTTTTAATAATTGTATCATTAATTATACGTACTAATGGGTTTCATCAATATTAATCATTTGAAACATGTGGCTACAATTAATTATTATTTGTTATTTTTAAATATAAACTCATCCACTGCTCTTAGCATTACCCAGGGTCAACGACGGGGACGTGGCAGTGGTCATGACCCCAAAAATAAATTATTTCCTATATTCGGTCCCAAAATTTTGGAACGAATACTGGAATATCATTCAATTCTTATTCAAAAATTTGCTGTCGTAATGAATTTGAAGTTCATTTTGCAGAACTCATTGATACTTGAATGATCGAATTAATGAGTGATAGTGATTAATAATAATAATAATAAGAAGAATAATAAGAATAATAAAGCCCCAGTTTCTCTTAGCATAATTACAAATGTAGTGTACCGTATTATTCTAATCCTCCTCATCAGACCAAAAAGATTCTTCCCCAGATTCATCACAATCATCGTCGTTAACTTCAATAATGAACGGGCCAACGTGCTGAGCCATTCGATCCGCGCATACCCGATACTTATCCTCTAATTTTTGCACATGTTGGACACATTTCTTCCACAGATCTTCAGGAACCGAGTTCATAACCTCAACGCATAAACGATGAACGTCATTAATTTTGAAAGTATTATTTTGCAGTGCGACGCGACTTTTAACATTCGCCCATATTAATTCGATTGTTTTGAAGTCGCAGTGAGCGACGGGGAGCCACAATAATTTCACGCAATATTCCGCGGCTACGTAGCGTAGGATATACCTAAAGTATACTTTATCCAAAAGATAAGATTTGGGGAAGAAATGAGGTTTGGCGAGATTGTACAATCGCTTTTTTGTTAATGACTCGAAACAATCAACTCCTTCCGGCCTGCGTACATTTCTCTTGACAAACCATTGTATTAAGTCCGATTTCAACCACGCTTTCGTAGGATTGCGTTTATCCGGGTCAATCATCGTGTGATACGGCGCCAAATCAATTACTATTACCGATTTCGGAGGCAACAATTGGAGAATTTTCCTGAAACATTGTTCGTAATGCTGCGCATTCATTTCAGTGTGATAATCACTTCCGTTTTTCCCGATAAAACAATCGATACCTCCTTCCAAAAAACCGTCTTCACTACCGATGTGCGTAATTATAACTCTTCTCTGATCCCGATGGAACCAAAAATCCTCCTCGATGGGAAGCAACGTGTTGAACTCGTGATCGGTAATAATCAAAGTTATCAATCTGATTTGCCAAAGAAGTAATCTCTACCCATCCATATTTTCTCGCGTGATTCGCCCCACACCATGTTTCATCAGTGAACCAAATTTTGAAACCATGGTCTCTATAATATTTCATCATAGTTAAATACTCCTGACGTTTACGCGCAATAGTTGCACTTTCCATGAGTGCTGGCTTTCTATTATAACGAGCATATTTGAAATTCATTTTTTCAACCAATCGCCGCAAAGTAGGGAGACTAATTTCGGGAAAGTCTGGGACATCTTTTATCAGTATTGCATGCAATTTACTCATGGTAAGATATGTCTTGTTAACGTAAACATCAAGAATACATCCGCGTATGATCCCTAAAAAGAATTCATCACATTAAATGGGAGGACGCCCGTCTTTCATTTTTGGCTCTGAGAAAAAACCCTAATCTTTATATTCGCGAACTACGCGTTGAATGGTACTCACGGAAATTTCCAATTTACTTGCCGTTAATTCAAGCACATTCTTATTGGAAACATTATCGGATTTTATTAACGTTTTACATAAATCCCATGCAGCAAGGATAAATTTCTTCTCTCTTACTGAAAATGGTTTACCTAAATTTTTTGATGTGTCGGACGAATGTTCGTTTCCATTTTGACGCTCACTATCGTAAGTAGACTCGCAGTCTGAGGAAGTATCTGATGGCTGATCTACACAATTATTCAAAACATGCTCGTTGTTATTGTTATTCATATCCATTTCTGCCACATTCTCATACATAACCCTGCTATCAATATATTCAAACATAGCTTCATTATTGCCATCAATGTCTATTTGAATATCATGCTCATTATCATCATTATCTCTCAAGGTTTCTTCATTATATTCATCAATATCTATTTGAACCTCACGCTCATTATCATCCTTACTCCTCAAGATTCCGTCATTATTAGTATCAATATCTATCTGAACCTCATGCTCCATATTATCACTATTTTTTAAGATTTCTTCGTTATTGATGCCAGTGTCGGCATCGACTTCCATTCCATCCATACATGCATCATTTTCTGTAGTTGAATCATCTACATTAATCGGTTTTAATAACTGAAAATGGCCATCCTGATGATGACGTTGATGCATATCCGTAAACATTATGTTTACTGTAGGAACATCAGCCGATACTTCAAATTTGATCGGAAAATTTGATCCATCTGAAGACACGCGATATAGAATCAAATTTATATTGAATAATTCAGACGCGGAGGTATGAAAAAATCGTATAGAACTTTTCTATACGAATTGTGTATAGAATGATCCTANTGATTGGCCTGGGAATCGTATAGGGGTTTCTATAGGGATTATTCTATACGATTTATTCCTATATGCTCGAGAGAAATGCGTATAGAAATCCGGCGATTTTATACACGAGGTTTGTATGCATTCGCCTGGGAATCGTATAGCGGTTTCTATAGGAATTATTTTATGATTCATTCCAATACGCTCGAGAGAAATGCGTATAGAAATCCGGCGATTCTATACACGAGGTTTCTATCCATTCGCCTGGGAATCGTATAGGGGTTTCTATAGGGATTATTCTATACGATTTATTCCTATACGCTCGAGAGAAATGCGTATAGAAATCCGGCGATTCTATACACGAGGTCCGGCGAATTTATCCCGAAAAATGAGAGTCCACGTATAATAAATTCGTATCTCTCATGGAACACTACAAAAAATGCTGAGAGTACTTTTCACGGGATTATTACCTACATTTCAGCGGATTTTTTTTTGCAGAAAATAAATGAGAAATAACTTTTTTTTTCTAAAGGATTTATGAAGTATTCTTCGTCAAGTGGAACACATATTTCCATCATATCCGTAAAATCATGTGACACTTGCCTTTTTACACGGTATGAATATCATGGTAAAAAAATATAATGTAGTTGATAATTTCCACGCATATAATTTATTCCCAGTAAACGAGTCGTTCATTGTTATTCAGATACAATTTTTTCACGTTAAAAAAATTACACTGTTCTTTGACAGCTCTCACGTGAAAAAAGCTAGCGAATCATTAATGATGGTCAGGCCACGAGTAGGATATTTTGAAAATGCAGCCAACNAAAAATTACACTGTTCTTTGACAGCTCTCACGTGAAAAAAGCTAGCGAATCATTAATGATGATCAGGCCACGAGTAGGATATTTTGAAAATGCAGCCAACTTTATGGGAATTTTTTTCACATGTTATTTAATCCGTTGCAAAATTTCGGAAACCCCAGGTCCGAGACAACAATAAAAATTAATTCGAAAGTTGTCACGTATACATGAGTTTAGAAGGAGTATTAATAATTTCATTTTTTACCACATTGCCAAATGGTCGATAATGTAGGGAACATATTCATAAAATCGGCTGCAATTTTTTAAATATCCTACCTACTCCTCGTCTGAACATCGTTAAGCAAGGAAATAACAAAATTGGAAATTTTTTTCCGCTATGACGTGATTGATTACGGAGGAATAATGGGAAAAAATAATCAACGTTTATGTTATCTCCGAATTTTGCCACCATGAACTACTGAGGGAATAATGCTGAGTTGCTTTTGCTAGTTCAAGCATAGTACATTTTATTTTCAGGCGTCATATTTAGTAATTGGTGAACATTATTTTTACAGACAAAGAAGTATTATTGGTTATATTTCGTCCAATGAAAATGTTTGTAAATGTAAATTCTCAAGAAAACCACATTTGACATCAGATTAAGTTATTCAACAGAACAAATCAAGTATATTCAAATTCCAT